AGAAGTAGGATTAAGCATTATATGGAACGCCTCAGCTATCCTCCTTTCTTTGTAGTTGGAAAAGCCTTTTTGCAATATTTTGATATTTTTTAAATCGATTTGGTGGTTGTTGAAAATGGCATGAACTGCTATTGCCGATTTAATTTGAAGTTGGTTCAATTCTACCGGATTGTTAGGAGGTTTCTTTGTGTACCTAATATGTTCTTTGGCTCTAGTCAAGATTTCGCGGGATGACTCTCCAATATAATAGGCATCGCAATCGATACAACCTAATTTGTAGACGCAGTTCTGTGTGGACATGAAAGGGATTTTGTCTTTCAGGCGAACTAAAGTATTACGTAGTGTGTCCGTTGTTTTGTAGTACACTTTGATTCTGTGATGTTTTAAGATTCTTTGTATTTCTTCTGTTGTGCCATGACGGTATGATAGAACTACAGTACCAATCCATGGCATTTCATTCGAATCCTTATTATAATGTGATAAATTGTTTTGTTTTAATATGCTTCTAATAATCTTCATAGGAAAATTATTAAATTGTGAGATGCTAACTATATTTATTTGTTCTTTTTGTTTGTCTTCCTCTGATGTGATGATCTTGTTAGCTCTTCTAAAAAGATTTAAGGCTAGCGAGATCTTTGCACTGAAAGGATGTGCTGAATGGAAGTCAATATAACGATTTGAATGTGTCGGTTTTCGGTAAATGGATAGGTTTAGACTTCCATTTGGATTTCGTTTTACTAAGCAATCCAAGAATGGTAGCTCACCATGTACATTTTCATTTTCATTGGTGAATTTGATGTGTGATGAAAGTGTATTTATTCGTTTAGAAAAAGATCTTAGATGAGTCTTTTTTATAACAACAAATGTATCGTCTACATATCTAAGCCAAATTCGTGGTATAATGTTGTGGGCGAAGATATTTGATTCTATGTATGCCATAAAATGGTTGGCTACAATCGGGGACACGGGGGATCCCATTGCTACACCGTTAGTTTGTTTGAATAACATACCGTTAAAAGTAAATAGCGTTGAATTTAAGCATAGTTTTAAAGATTTCATGATTAGACTGATGCTCAACGGACATCTGTCAGGAAGAGTATTGTCGTTCTCAAGTAAACCACTAATGAATTCTAAGCATTTATCAATGCGAACACTTGTGTATAAAGAAACGACATCAAAGCTTACCATGATTTCATTCTTCTCGATGACTAATCCGGATAATTTTGATTTCAAGTCATATGTGTCTTTAATTATATTATGTAAGTTGAGTTGCATTGGTTTTAATATGTTGCTTAAATATTTTGATAATCCATATGATGGGGTGTTTGTGAAGTATACTATCGGTCTTAGAGGAATATCTGGTTTATGAATTTTTGGTAAGCCATAAAACCGTGAGACATTACATGATTTAGGATGCAACGCAAACCAAAGCGAGACCCAAATGATTGGTTTTAGCTCGTTCAAAAGTTGATTTGTTTCTAATTTGACTTTATTCTTAATCGTTAGAGAAGTTTTTGGATTGATCTTTTCATAAGGTCCTGTTGAGAGATGTTCAAGAGCTTTATTAATATAATCTGTTTTATTCATGATTACTGTTGTGTTGCCTTTGTCGGCTTTTGTGATGATAGTCGTTTTGTCTTTTTGAAGTGAATACAGAGCCTTCAATTCTTCTTTTGAAATGTTTGGTGTAATGTGTTTTTGTTTAGTCAGAATATGGGATGTCTTTTGACGTAGTAAATGCGACTCTTTTTCCGGTAGTTGTGCGATCATTGGTTCTATAATTGGAGCAATTTCAAGAGTGCTAAGTGGTTTTCTGTGTAAATTGAAATTTAGTCCCTTCTCTAGTAGAGTGATTTCGTGACTGTTTAAGTTTCTGTTAGACAGATTATGAACATTTCTTCTTAGATCATTCGAAGGGACTAAATTTCACTTAGGCGCGCTACGGATTGGACGTTACTTTCAGGCCGATGTTTTTAGTTTTATTTTTCTAGGATTCTCGCAGAGCTGGATGAATTACTTTTTCTTGGAATTATGGAAGTTAACTCTATTCTTAACTATTAACATATAAACTGTGAATTTCATGCCATATGATAAGTTCTGAGTTTAACTTACGGTATTTATGATCATATTTATACAATAATTCATAATCATATAATTACATATATTCATTTTGACTATACGATCAAACTATACTCTGTCACTTTGAAAACATATATATTCATATTTGACGAAGATTTGCATTCCATATCTGTATTCTATTTCTTAAGGAATATATGGTTATATCGTATTTGAATGCCTTAACCCACGTACTTTATGTATCTACAGGATCTATTCAGACTTCTACCTAATATCAAGAAATATATATAACCGTGTATGTTAAAGGACTGTATTCACTATTTTATGAACTATCATTTAAATCGTATTTGGATACTATAAATTATTTCATTTACGAAATTACCTGTCCAATTCGGTGAGTCTGTCATAGTTTTTTTTTTTTTGACAGTGTTTTTTTTCCAAAAAGCTGTTTCATATAGTTGTTCAAGAAGCAACATAATAATCTTAGACGGTAATAATCTTTTAAACTACTTATCTCTGCACCTCCCAATTTTTACTAATACGGACTTTCAGTTTATATGTGTATCACATACCGTACTCACTTTGATTGTTTGATACTAATTATCAACATTTCTAAATTACTCTACTGTATAAGGCTATCTTTCGTGTCATATATATGTTAAAATTTATACAACTTGCTCCTTTATATTCTATTTTGCCTCCACACAGATACTGACATAAATACTTCATCTCCATTACTATCTTCCTGCCATTGTCATCTTTTGTTTTTGACACCACTAATCCTCACGATACATTCGCTCTTGGTTAAAACATAGATTTTGATTTTTAGACTAACTTGAGCCTTCAGAATTGATTTTTTTTCATTCCTTTCTATTTCCAACATTCTGTTCAATCCACTTGCTATACGTCACTTTCTTATCATGCCACAAGAGAAAATGAAGACCTCTGCTTCTAGGCGTCCAGCCAAACGTAGGAAAACGACACAATTTAACACCACTGCAGACATGATTTCCGACGGTTTTAACGAGACGAGCCACTCCGTTCATCTGGAAGCAGACAAGCTTTTACCAGTTGTCTCCATTCCAGACATGTTGAAAACTCAGATGGTAAACAGTGATGATAATCGCAACTGCAACCGTATGGATGCTATAAAAAAGTTGCAAGTAGACATGAACATTCTCAATCCGCTTAAATATCTCATCAACCCCTAACCTCACAGAGACTCCAGATCAAATGAATGACATAAATATTTTCCTAGATCGTGTTTTATCAGAGGTATTTGAAAGAATAAGACGATCTAGCAATGCAATTGTGTTTAATATACCGTATACACATGCCCTTAAAAATATCAAATCTAGTCAGCTTAGAGCCAGCAATATGACACACGTACCATGTGTATGCACAAGATTAAAAAGAAGTCATCCTGGTATGCACTCACCGATCTTGTTCAAATTCAACTCATCTGTAGACGCCAGTGAATTTTTAACTTCCTCCAATTCATTGAGACAAAAACAGATTTTCAAGGATATTTGGACTCTTCCGGATAAAACACCATGCCAGCAAAAAGCAGGAAGAAATAACTACAGACCATCAGCGTCAAACTCTCAAATGCATCATAATCCTAATGGTTGTAAAGTTAAGTCCGATTCTAAGAGGACGTCTAGCTTAACAACTTTGCCGCCACCGAAAAACTCTTCTGAATCTCCTAAAGTTCAAAACCCAGAAGAAAGTAATCCCGATGTAGGTGTTGTCCATCCTCTTAAAAATGTTGACTTAGATTCAACCCGAAGTAGTTGTGCTGATGAAGAATGGGATAACACAATCCAAACCACTGTTAGTGCAACACCCAATTACAGTAACTGTGCAACGGATAACAGGAAAACTAATCATAACATTCATATAACTGACCACGCACTTAACGTTGATATATTCGAACCTCGCAAACCATCGCAAGTATGTTTAACAGTACACAATCCTCTCCAACTTATGAAGAAGCCGAAATCAACCACAAACCTTGGAAATAAACGTCCTAAACACGTTACCCATACGTCAGGTATAAATAGTTATCCGGATTGTAATTGACCACTTGGTCACAACCATAGACCTGATAGCCTTCTTGGTCCGGCTCCCATTATGTACACTATGCCCTTATCAGATGTTATATCAAATAGCAATGAGAAAACTTTTTTTGTAATTCCGCCGGCTTTCCTGCAGGCAACGGTAAACATATTTCACATGATGACAAAGTGGTTGAATCTATTTCCCCTCGCAACACAACTCTTACCTTAGCTAATCCTATGAGTATTCATGGAACTTCCAATTGCGATTTATACTCTAACCTGCCTCACTATGATAACTCTGAGTTTCTTATTCTTTCGTTCAATGCCCGCTCTCTGTCTAATAAAATTATTCATCTTAAAACTCTTTTATTCCTTGTAAATCCAACCATTGTACTTATTACGGAAACATGGTGTAATTCATCTATATCCGATCATTCCTTGAATGTAGATAACTACGTTTTCTTTAGAACCGATAGATGTCATGGAATAAGAGGCGGTACAATTATCTATATCCGTTCAGACATTCAAGCGTGCAAATTTGAGGATAAATCCCTTGATACTATAGACGACTCCACTTGGGTTACTGTAAGCTGTGGATCCCAAAATTATTTACTGGTGGGATGCATATATAGACCACCTCATGCGGATACTAAGTTTGACAGATTACTAACAAACATATTTTCCATTGCTTCGCACCAACCGCATACTTTTAAAATCATCGGAGGTGATTTTAATTTAATTACATGGGGCTTGACTCCGGTACCAGGTCGATATAACAAGCTAGTTGAAACATTAGAAATTTGTGGATGGGTTCAACAGGTCCGAAAACCAACTAGAGGGAATAATACACTTGATTTAATGTTCACAATCAACATAGACTCTATCTCAATGCATACCAGTCATGAGTTTTTTATGAGTGACCATAGAATTGTATTGAGTATTATTCACTCTTTAAACGCCATACATCTGAACTGTAAAGCTTCATTGATGTACCAAAGCAGACATTTTGATCAACAAACATGGAAACGGACTGGAACTCCCATTCAGTGTTTACTATGGGAAACTTATTTTACCACAAATAATGTTGACATTGTGTGGTGTTTGAATTAACTAATGATTCTTTTGTACTGGTTGAATGTTTGATTTCGAATTCTAAATACAATACATTCGTTTGTGCCTGTGTCTTCTTAGTTCAATTGCGTTAATCCTGGAATTCCTAGTTCATACGATAATTCGAATACTATATTGGCGTCGCGATGGGGCCTGCAATGGAAAAGTTAGATATTCATTCAACTCCTGAAGCTTTTGAGGATTATTTAGAAAGTTTCGAAATCTGGAGCATGACCAAGGAAGATGATGAGGATGTTAATATTGTGGCACACTTCCTCACATTCATTGGAAAAGAAGCATACAGCTTATTAAGAACTCTGGCTATGCCGGAAAAACCCATTTTGCTTTCTTATACAGCTCTCAAGGATCTACTGCTAGACTATGCTCAGTATACAAATTTCGAATGTCGTAAAGGAGGAAGATTTCGTAAAATGATTCATGAGGATATAAAAAAGTCCACTACATTAATACGTCATCCCAACCTAGTGCATACTCAAGGTTATGCAGACAATTCATTGAATTTGGATGCAGTTCACGAGGATGGGGACAAGTTTGGTCAGTGTTTGTCCTGTTGCAAGTTCCACTCTTCTAATTCATGTAAATTTCATAATTCTAAATGCTTCAAATGTCGTGATATTGGACAAGTTCAGTCAGTTTGTAATGCTAATGTTCATCTTACTGCAACTAATATTAAGTCTTGTAATTCTGATTCTACTGAGTCGAGTATTCATGATGATCATTTATCTTTATCAACGATTTCAAAAGACAGTGCAGAGTCATATGGCAGTTCAGAGTTAAATGAAATCCAGAATTCTTGTGAGACAACAGTTCCTAATCAACCGATTTATCAGAATTCTCATGCTATTGTACCAGGTATGACTTTTCCTGATGATTCACATATTTCTAATGAAATTACTTGCAATTCTGAGGAAAATATGTTAAATGAACCTAATCATGATCGAAAACCTGATGTGGTTTGGATAGATGCTGATTTTTCTAACGATCCTACACTCTGCAATGACAGTCCTAATGAATTTCATAAGAATATTTCAGAAGAATCAAATCCTGATGTCATATCATATATTACCTATCCTCATAATGCATTTGATCATTGTGAAAATCCTGCTCAATGCGAAGCACGAGTACTAAGTGACCTCGAGTTTTATTATATTTCGGATGATTTCATATCAACTGCTGTTTACTCTTATCACAAAAACAGTTCTAATGTTTACTCTAAACAATGTGAGAAATATGTTTTAAATGAAGCCACATTATTCATAACTTGGGGATATAAAGATCCAACATTATTTCGTGGGGGGGGATAGTGTTGAAAAATCTATGGTTCGAATTCTAGATATTAATGATTTCATTACAAAACTGACATGCTGGTTGTATACAATTCCAGCACTTTCTAGATACTACACAGTTTTTATCTTATACAATGTCGGACAGACTCAGGATGAACTTAACAAGAAGACGTACAACCGATTACAAACACTTATACTTCTATTTAAGCTGTGGCGGATGTGGTGTTTGAATTAACTAATGATTCTTTTGTACTGGTTGAATGTTTGATTTCGAATTCTAAATACAATACATTCGTTTGTGCCTGTGTCTTCTTAGTTCAATTGCGTTAATCCTGGAATTCCTAGTTCATACGATAATTCGAATACTATACATTGCTCTTTCCAATCTATACCACAACCTGATATATTGTCTTGACTGCACTGCTCCAGTTATTGGCCGTGTGGCTTATAATGCTAATAGGGGCCAAAATACTTTTAAAAGAAAGCTGAGGAAATCAAAATGTCGCTACTACGAGCAGAATGATGTGTACGTACTTCAGAGTATACTTAAATTAATCGACAGAAATGCTTCATCTAAACGTAAGTATTTTATGAATATAGAAAATAAAGCTCTACGTAGTAAAAGCCCAGAATTATCAATACTTCGACTTTATAAATCCCGTGTAAAGTCAAATTCCCTTGGCACGACTAAATTCTTCATAGTTCACGGAAGCATTGTTAACGACCCGAATACTATATGCGAACAATTCAGCAAGCACTTCTCGCAGTGCTACAAAACTGGGACTGAAAACTCCATCATTGCATTTCCAATGCTGACATCCAGACATCTGTCGAAAATTGATTTTACACCCTCCAACATCAAGCAGGCCATAGCTGCCCTGAAAAGTCTTATGATGGTGGACCTGACGGGATACCTTCATTATTTGTGAAATATGGAAGTAGAGAATTTCCACTATTTTGTTTGAAACTTTTCAGTCTATCTATGGAACATGGGACCTATCCATCTGTATGGAAAACATCCCTTATCACCCATAGATTCAAAACAGGACCACGTAGTGGTATTATTAACTATAGGCCAATTAATTTGACATCCGTGCTCTCAAGAACCATGGAAAAATCATCCACAAACAGCTACTATCATTTTTACTTTCGGCTAGTCTGATTAGCCCATCCCAACACAGGTTTATGACTAAACGCTCATGTTTCACATCGCACCTGGAGTTTTTTGATCAAATTACCCAGAGAGGAGATGTTGGTCAGTCAGTGATAGTTCTTTACTTCGATTTTAGTAATGCTTTCGACAGTGTCTCACACAGACTTCTTCTTTTAAAACTCTCTTCATTTGGCACACAGAAGCCCCTTTTATCTTGGCTCAAATCTTTTTTAGAAGAACGTAGCTAAATCGTTCGCTTTGGATCTTGCTACTCTAAACCTGTGAATGTAACCAGTGGGGTTACAGAAGGAAGTGTGGTTGGTCCATTACTCTTTCTCCTTTTTATCAATGATGTGTGTTCCGTTTTTCAGTATAGTAAGCCTTTCCTTTTTGCTGATGACGTGAAAGTAGTTTATTCATTCTCTTCTCCTACGAAATAAAGCTATATTTCAGCAGTAATCCAGGAGGAAATAAACAAGTTGTACGAATGGGCTGTTTCGTGGAATTTTCCACTTAATGTTGACAAAAGTGGATTTATTCACATTGGTCGCTGTCTTAAATTAAATCTGACTGTACAGACACATACACTCAAACCTCTCAACACTGTTCGTGACCTGGGTTTAAGATATAGCAATAGTCTGAACTTTTCTGAACACATTATATCTCAAGTATCCAAAGCTAGAAAGCTGATCGGATTGATAACGATAAACTTCAATAATATCGAATCGAGATTGTTACTATACAGAAAATGTATCTTACCCATTCTTGAATATGGTATTTTAGTCTACAGTAATTGTAGACATAATGACCTGATTAGAATTGAAGATGTTCAAAGAAAGTTCACCAAAGCTGTTCTGGGGTATTCTGATAACAAAGACTATCACCAAAGATGTCAACAACTCAACTTAGAACCTCTTTGGATCAGACGTATCAAATTAAATCTTGTCTTTATCTACCGGCTCATTAACGGTATTTCCTACTCATCGGTATCTACCCCTTCATACCTTATAATATCATCCCACAATCTACGCAATAAGGAGAACATTCTAGCGATTCCAAGAGCCCACACAAACTTACGTCAGAATTTTTTCCTTATTCGCTACTCAACCATGTGGAACAGACTGCCAGTGAACCTCCGTTGCAGTGAAACTAAAACCTGGTTCAGAAGTCTGCTTGAAGATTTTCTTTCCGAAAGTGGATTATGTCACCTATTGAACATCAATGTATTCAATAATGATTTATACGAGCAAGGTCCATCATCCATTTAATTGCTTGAAAAGCAAAATAAAACCTTTAAATCTTTTCAAATCTATCTTGTTTTATTTCTATTTATCTTAATATCTGAAGTCTGCTTATGTTCGTATCTATAATTATTACTGTTATTAATATCATTTTTGTTCCCCGACACATTAGATATTCCTTTTGTATCTTCTTATCTTAATTCCTGATTGTCCTTTGAAATTAATTGTGACTTTCATAGCATCATTCTTAATTATTATTGCACAGATGTTTATACTAATATCCGGTTTCGCTCTGTATATTATTACATAAATCTAAATGTAATCATCCGAGTGCATTAATGGATTTCTGTTTTATTTTTCTAAATTGTTGGTTTCCTTCTGAGGTTGATATTCATTACGCAATTATTATTTTTATCATGGATCAAAACTTTTCACTAGGTGCTCACTTCTTTTCTCTCTTCTTTCCCTCTAAATAAATATTATTCTTAAGATTACGAAGTTTGTAATTAAGACAATAACTTGTGTTACACTTTAATTAACTTCTCAGATTCGTTTCATCTTCACTATGCATATATGACTATTCATACATAGTGATATTTTATTATCCTTTTCACTAAATTGTGACTTTCATAGCATCACTCTAAATTATAACTGCACAAACATTTATTCTAGTGTCATATCTTACTACAATGATAAATTATTTTTTCTTACTAATTTAACGATACACACATAGTCGTTTATCCTTGTCCTGTGTTCGTAAACACGCCTATTAGACTGTTTGCGTATTTCACGTCTCCTTTATTTCTATTCCCTTATTTTCTCCATTTCTTTCTTTAGACTCAATTCAATATTCTTCTCAATTACACATACCCGATTTATTATTATTATTAATATTCTACTATTATTGCTCTAATTTTTTTTTAAATGGCAAGTATAATGCTGACATTATTGAAAATTGTGTATTATTGCATTTTTTGAAGAAACCCGAAATGGTTTCTTCACAACACTTATGTACCCATAAGATGTTTGTGAATAATAATAATAATTCAGTACAGATCGAAAGGGAGGTCTTACTATACATCCTACTTGGACCATCTATCCTAACCATTCAGTTTGATCGTATTCACAATTTCACACTATCATATTACAAATTTAAACTCTATCCTTTCTTACCATAAATGTCACACAAGTTTTCATTCTTAAACAATGCACATATACATACACACACAAATTTACATACATATCACTTATGAATCACCTTGACAGAAATGACAAGACATCAACGTGTTCAGACCTGTTTTTGATTGATCAAATATTATTCTTGCATTGTTCTGTTGTACTATTTAAACTTGGATTAATTTTAATTTGGTTATTTATTCTCTGAAGGAGTGACTTACGCTAAGTCACGAAACGTCAGAAAATCCAATTTTCTACTCATTGGGATATTACAAATATATTGTTTTTATCTACTTACAATAATCTACGACCTCTTGGGTCTCGTTTGAACCACATGTATGGATTACCGAAAATACATAAACAAGGTTATCCTCTTAGACCTATTTTGTTAGTGATCAATTCACCAAACTGCAAAGTTGCACGATGGTTAGCAGATAAGTTAGAACCAGTGCGTCAACGATTAGCCACCTATACACTAAAGGATTCATTTGTATTTGCTGACAGCATGAATCACATAAATATTGCTGGTAAGTTTATGGTTTCTTTTGATGTAACATCATTGTTCACAATACTACCACTTCTTGAAACCATAGACATAATTTGTCAACATTCTGACATCCTACCTCTACCAGTACCAGAATTCAAACGACTATAACTCATTTGTACAAAAGATGTTCAGTTCTAGTTCAACGATATCATATACAAACAAACCGACGGTGTAGCGATGGGAAGTTCGTTAGGTCCTGTCCTAGCAGATATTTTCATGTCTAACCTCGAAAGAACCAAACTCAAACGAGCGATTGATGAAATGACGTATTATTCGAGGTATGTTGATGATACCTTCATCGTATGTAATAATAAACAACATGCAATAAATCTGCTAGAGTTTTTCAACGAAGCACATCCGAATATCCATTTCACTATGGAACATGAAAAAGAAAACAAGTTCCATTTTCTCGATATCGCGATGAAAAGAAGAAAGGATGGTACAGTTCAACGTTCAGTTTATAAGAAAGACACATGGAATGGTAGTTATCTTGATTTCAATCGCTTTTGTCCAATCAGTTACAAAAAGGCACTGGTCAGAACACTGTTTTACAGAACAGAAAGAATATGTACCCACTGAAATTTATTGAGAAATATGGCAAACGTGAAGATAAGAAACCCAGAGAAATTACAGCAAATAAAAAGCCTATTTTTATTCAACTTCAATTTAAAGGTGACGATGTCACAGGATCAATCAATATGAGACTAAAAACTGCACTGACAAGAACTTATCCTGCAGAGAAATTGATTGTCCTGTCCAAAACAACATGTTTTTTGACACAATCAATGGTCGACAGGTATCTCTCTCATGTTACCACCAACTGTGTATACAGATTTACATATGCCTGCCAAAGCAGTTACTTTGGTAGAACAGAAAGGGGAGCCTACGTCCGATTCAAAGAACATATTCCGAAAAATTTAAGGTTAAATGGATTGAACGCATTCAACAGTGCTATCGCAAGACATCTCCTTGATACAGGACATGAAGTTGATATACTGAAGTCCTTCAAGGTGATTAACAAACAATCAAACTCGAACCTTTTGAAATTCGCTGAAGCGTTAGCAATCAAACGTTTAAAACCAGATCTATGTATACAAAAAGAGACAGTAATAAATCTTTCTTTACCCTGGTAACAATAACCGCCACCCTTTCTATTCATTTGCTCCTACTTATTTATTTATTGCGTCATTATTGCAACTCTTTCTGAAGTTTAAATTACGTCATACATAACTGATTGATTGCAATTCATATTTTCTTCATTACTATTAATCTATTTTCATGGGTTCTAATCACTA